AGCATGCTTGTACATGAAACCTGAAACTTGTAAAATTAACACTTTAGTAGTAATTATTCATGTTCCACAGTATAGGTGCAACACAATCAGCAGCTTCAACTACAGTAAGCTGCTTTAATGAAACAATGGGCATTGGCTGCTACTAGTAGTTTAGGAGACAATGTATTATAATGCGAGCTTGCTTATAGCATGAGTGGACCCTAATGTTTATTTAGCAGCAAAATTCACAATATGCATGGAAATCAAGCCAACTTGCTTCAAAATAGTGTTGTTGACTTCAAAATACCAGCCAGCTTCCCACTTGCTAAAAGATGGCCACCTTCCAGGTCATCAGGCCAGCTCTAGGCAGATATTTACTTAAACTTAAAATTACCTGTATTATCACTCGCTATTGAAAGAACTTTATTTTCTTCGTACTTAAAGGATAAATGGACAGGACAAATCCATTACATTGTGCAATATTCTAATGTGTGATATTCTATATAAAACTAAATGGACTGCAAGACCACAGGTTACTATTAATAACACGTATGAAAAAAAGTTTGCAGATCAAACTATAATGTTAAATTGAAGTAAAAATTAGATGATAGAAGACAAAGTAAAAAGACAAGAGTCAAAACTTTAAAAAATTATGAAAATGTTACATTATCTAAGGAAACAACAGAAATATTTTCACCTCTTCATTTTAGGATATTAAAATGTACCATACTTCACACATGGAATGAATATAAATGATGGATCCCTTCTGAAGGACCCACATGTTAGCATGTCTTTAAAAGCTGCCCTTCTACTTGTCAGTTATAAACAACTGACCGAGGTACACTCAAACTTTTTCAGCACAATGCATCAAACTGGAAATATCATATACTATACAGACCTCAAATCTTCTCTCAATAAATGTAAACTGACACAAAACTAACCACCAGCACCACCACCACCACGCAGTTATATAGCACCTTCATGCGGGTAACGGCTCGTAGCGCACAACAGTGGTGTAGTTTGACGTCAAGCTGGAAAGGGAGGGGAGATGACCAAACGCATGGTTGAAAGTGAGATTGAGGATCTTTAAATTGTCACAAGTCACAGAAAATTTAAATTTATGCAGTATAAATTTATACAATAGCAAAACAAAATTATTAAAGTAGATAGAAGGTGACATAGTTATATCATGGTGGTTTGGGTCTGTAAAATTAGACACTGTTATAAACTAGAAAAATGGCAGCCGGATTCCCCCTTTCAGGTCATCGGGTTGCCGCTGATGTTACTTCCAGCATTTGTATTGCGGATTAGCCGGCTCGTGGCCCATGTGTGCAGCGTCTCGGAAGCCAGCTAGTCAGCACAACTACTCTCGCAAGCGTTTTTGGTGCTAGAAACATTCGAGAGAGTGGTCGCAGTTGACCAGCCAGCTTCCTGTTCCCAAGTGCAGGAAGTCACCCAATTTGTACTGGATGCATATCACACTTCCCAGTAACTACATATCCATTGAAGATCTGAATTTTTAGAAAACCTGAGCTCAAGCAAGGCACCTTATAACTTGTATTACATTAGTGTTTAATATTCAAATGTTCCTAAATAAAATACCTTGACAATCCAAAACAAAATAGATCTGAAAATTTGAAAAAACATCCACCAATAATTTCAAGCAACAGATGAATTGCAAATTCCACAGGAAGCAATGCTGTAACAGCAACTACAATTCAAAAAGCACATAACAAATCATAGAAAGGTTCTCAATACCACCAATTAGCATCCTTACTGCAAAGTTAATCAAATTGTATCAAGTACAAAAGTCTTCAAATTTGCAAAATCATATGTTATGTTTTTTTTAAGAGAAGTTGCTCCTACAAGCCACTTCATTGTGAGTAGCCATATTCCTGTCCCCTACAATTTGAACCACTGATGTGTCCCTGCATCTTTGATCTCAAAAACAATCCAGACGAAAAATAAGCCTTTCCACTTCCAGAAGTCTAGTCTTGACCCACTACAAAGTTTCTCATAAAGCAGATATTCCAACATTGACCATTGAATTGGGTTATTAAAACAAATAGTAATTTTACACAGACAATTTAATCACAACTCGGAAAGATACGTGGTCCATTAGTTAACTATTACAGGCTCTTTAAATACAAGTGCTTTTGTAGGTTTCTTCATCTTTCTGGAATTTCCATGTCTAGGTGGGATACATGGAATTCTCAGTTTGGTTTGGATACTTCAAACCCAGCTGACCAAAAGGAAATCCACAGTTCCCTTTTCTTCCTTTTGAATGAAGAGAGTAGAGCTACATTTTGATGATCTCGCACCACCGGAATCCCGAAGTTCGGTCATGCAACAGTAGAATTAAAAACTCAAAAAGGCCCCATTGATTAAGCTCTCAAAATAAGACGTTGTTCAGTTCAAAACGGCTTTCAACACATGCAGTTCATTTTTCCTTCCCATGACTTCAAAGATACCGGTTGCTGTCTAATTAGGATAGGATTTGGTTTTTCAATGATTGAATGCCACTTACAACAGCATGTGAGAAATATCAAAATAATACTGAATACTGAGCAATCTCCTCACTCTGAGGTAATTACCAACGTTCTTGGACACATTGCAATGTAAAATATACTCCCTCCTTCCCCATCCAAAATCTAAAAGAAATGGTCCTATAAATGCTCATGAAGTGCATAAAGTAGAATTCTCTCCTACTGATCGCATCACCTCAGCAAGATTAATCAGTTTGTTCACACTTTTCTGAACCAGAAATCAATATAAAAAGATTGACAAATCATTAAAAAATTGATGGAAGATGTAAAAAATTATAGTGAATGTAAAAAGGTGGCCTAACACCCCAAAACATTAATAACTTATGGTGGCTCATTACTGTGCCATACTTCTGCCTGAGTGCCTCCTCAAAACAGCATATCATTAAAAGATAAAGATACCAAACTAAAACCAAGAAAATACTGAAAAGCAAATTTTGAAATATATTCCTGAATTGCAAACAAGACTAAAATATTGCACACAAAATGGCAAAAAGCCATACCAAATTTAAAATAATTCAGCATTAGATAAAACAAAAAATCCTAGACCCAACATATCTGGACAAAATGGAAAAAAAANCTAGGCTGAGCAGTGGACTAAATTACATTTCAAAACATACTAAAATAGTGCTGAGTATTGCATACGCTACCCAGATAACATATTTTACTCTGAAATTCAGATGAAATATTAACTGGCAATCAAACTAAATAAATTCATGTAACTCAACTATTAAAGAAGGCAATGCAGTAGAACAAGAGGAAATAAATTTAGATTTGCAAAGGGCAATTTGAGGACAGATACCAGGAAGTGTTTCTTTATCCAGGGGATAATTCACGATTGGAACAGGTTGTCAGGAAGGGTGATTGAGGATGTTGGACTTATTTTAAAAGCACCTTGATGCTGTGATGGAAGGATGGTAGGATGGGTATTCTGAAAGAATGAGATCAGATAGGCTGACACAACATGTGCATGTGACTGCCAGGATGGTGGAAAGTGAAGTGGGTGGACCTTGGTCTTCTTTCGCATAGCAAATTCTTATGTTCCTATGTTCTAATGAACTTCAATTCAGCTAATCTTGTGATTTTGTGATCTTGACACAAACATATCAAGAAGACTAAAGTACAAAGCGTATCTCATAAAATTGGCAACATAACCTCTTTGTAGAAATAAACTAAAACGGGGAAGGGAAATGAACATCAGCCACAGTTTTCTTCTGCAATTCATGTTACAGCAGATATTATAAATGTAAAACTTTAATTGATGTTCAACCACAAACTTTAAGTAAAGGATGGAGGGAAAGGCAACTTTATTAATGATTCCTTAGCAGCAAATTAAACCTCAAAATTTGAAAAAAAAATCTAGTGTTGTACCTTTCTTTTGAAATGTAAATTATTTTGAAATTATTAGTCATCAGATATTTTCTTCAAGATACAATAACTTACCCTACTGTTGTTTCTTCAGTATTACAGTAATTGAAATATAAAATTGCTTTACTTCCTATTTTTTCACTGCTCCCTACTATGCACATTTCAGACCACTTCCACACTAAACTCATTTACTGCATTACATTACATTCATTCCTTCAGAGCATGCAGCAGTTTTACACCATGCAAAATCCCCCATAATACAAAATTTTACATTGTCTCTATTTTTTAACTCTCAAAAAAAATCAATCAAGTTTCTGCACCAACAACATACACAATGGAGTTTAAATTTACCCAAGAACAAGTCACCTCATCCAGGTTTGATATTTCAAAAGGAATTGTTAAAAGGACCTCACTGAAAGATACTTAATTTATTCATCAATATGTTTGAATTAAAAAAAGATATACTTATTTATCATAACACAGCTGAGGCAGCTAAGTAACCAATTCTGAGACAAGTTGTCAAAGATTCAAAGCTTCAGCCCTTTCACACAAACATTTTTCGATAATGTATAATTCTCAGTGATTCTGGTGGTTCAAACACTTTGGAAACATTAGGGGTGGGGGAGGGAGGTGAGGTATGAGAGAATAAATTTCAATGAAAAAATTAGACACCTCCAATTTGTTTTACCTCAGAACAGCACAAACAGGAGCCATGGATCTATTTGCAAACTTAATCATACTACTTTTACAACCAATATAGATGAGAGATGGAGTGCGGTTACATTGGGTTCAAACAGCACTTTGCAGAAGGAAAAAGAAGATTTGGAAGTAAAAATCTTAAAATGTACTAATTCTTTACAATCATTTTTTTCTTCCACAACATGTCTGACATTATAGTTGCAATGCTGAACTTCCTTATATTCCACTAGAGAATTCCAATAAACTGACAAATCCATTTTGCACTGTACATTCTAGTCAGAAACTTATATCCAACAACTTTACTGAACAGAGATTTGAAGAGGGTCACAGTTATAAGTAACAGACTGAACATCTCAAGATCCTTTATAGAATGAAATAAAGTCGCAACTGAAGTTTTGATCTATTACTTACATAATCATGAAAGGCTTTTGCTTCACTTGAATGTTCACAAGTTTCCCTTCGTTCAGGTGCCGCACAATAGAGATCCCAAAACACACTGTAAGAAATAAACTGTAATTAGTTTAAACATTCCACATTGCTCCCTATTTATTAAAAAAAACTACACTTTTATAAAGTTCTCTAAATTGAATTAGAAATAAATGAAATAAAAATATATTGCATACAAGTTGTTGAAAAATTATATTTGAACATTAGAGCAATTTAATCCTTTTAGCTGATGAGAAGTAGTAAGATCTTTATAGATATTATTAAAACCTGCATTTTAACATTTGAAATATTTATGTTAATAATCATTAAAACTGGTGCATTTACCTAAATTCTTCACTGGCAAACCATAACAATGAACACCACTTATAAAAACAGAGGGTAAAAATGCAATATCCATACAGATTCATCTTCTTAGTTTATCCTTCTCCTAAAGCAGTGAACTTTTTGCAAAATATTCTATATTTTCTTCAATTTTCTGGAATGAGTTCTTTAGAGAAGAGATGGATAGAAGTTAGAAGGCTATAACAGCAATCACAGTCTATCTCATCTGAAACATTTAGTCTTGTCACCAAGTTGCAGCATTCTCTCTTATCCCCCTCCACCAATCCATTTGTGAGCTTTCCAATTTTTATTTAGGTATAAACATTTGTGTCTTCCTTGAGCACTTCCATCCTCTTTTTTCCACTACCATAGCTACTTCAAGTTTTGTTTTGTTTGTTTTGATGAGTTGTCAGACTCCACCACTGTGAAGCACTCAGGGACGCTATCCTGCACGAAGGATGCTATATAAATGAGAGTAGTTATTGTTATCTCATAACATTGTAACACAATCAGCTGGATCTCATTCACTGATAACTGAAACCTAGTCAGAAAGGGAGTTTTAGTGAAACATAGTTCCACTGGGTTACACTACGTCTATGCAAGTTATACCTAGAATTGACACTGATCTTTGAATCTTTCAATGAAAATACTGGGAACATTTCAAGAAAGCGGTTACTGTGTAAGGATTTTTTTTAAAAAAAGCACAGTCTAAGCATTAAAAACAAATGATAAACAAAACACTTCAAACTATGCCAATCAGAGAATAAATAAAAACCTGATGAAAATAGGTTTCTATTTTAAGTTTTTCTTGTCACACAATCCGCTGAAATGCTCAAATGGCACACATATTCATAAAAGTGGGAATTTGAGTTTTAATCAGCAGATTGTGGATATCTTGGCACTGGGTTTTGAAATTAAATGTTTCAACATAATGCAAACAAAACCAATGTTTACTTAAAAGCTTCTCTCGGCATTGCCAGCATTTTCAGGGCCAAATTAAATGATTTAGATATATATAAATTAATCCAGAAATCAATTGCTTAAATAGTAAATTAATTCTAAATGCTTGCAGCGTCAGGTAAAGGCCATTGCATTGCAACTGTATTATTACCATTGGCGTAGCAATCCTCAACATTTAAATTGGATTTTCTTCCACATACCATGGGTAATATTTCAACCAATTATCACACATGGAGAATCATTTTGAGCATCAGATCACTGGTGTGCTCCACTCAAGTCCTAGCACAGGATATCCTTTAGGTTTTATAGTAGAACTGGATGCAAGATGGAAAGCACCAAAAGTTGACAGAAACTAATGGCTTTAGAGCAAAGGGTGAAAAACAATATATTATTGCCAATAATGATATTTGCATTTAATATAGCACCTTATCACTCCTCATCAACTTACAGAGGTGTGGTATCTCTGAGACGTCTCAAAGCGCTTCAAGGAATATATTGTAAAGTAAATTGACTATATTTTGCGGGCGAAATGATATGGCAACTTTTGTTTTGGAAGGAGATGTAATAAATCCTTTGAACAATTTCTTAATAGTGGTTTTTATTTTTATGAAGAATGAGCTACATGGGAGAAACAAAGGATTCCAAGGAATTCCTTGGCAGCTGTACCCACTGGTGAACTTAATGTCTTGGTCTTTTATTCCTCTCAAGATTTTTATTTTCTATCAAAGCTGAGTAGCATTCACTGGTCAAGGAAGCACCTAGATTACTGGCACCTAGAATTCCACCCATACTGTTCCTGAACCAGCTACCGGATATGTGTGAGACTAGTACTATTTCACTATTCACTGATTTTCCTTCTCTGTCTCTGACAAGCACATCATTCTCTACTTTATAATAATCCTTGCATTTGATATAACACCTTATCACATCTTCGAGACATCTCAAGGCACTTCACAGAAGATATTGTAAAGTGAATTGACTGTATATTTTGTGGGTGAAAATATTGGCGAAATGTAGCAGCCAATTGAAGGGATTATTACCACCAGAAAAACAATCTGCCAATCGACTAACAACCGGGTTCCTAGTTACTGCTTGGTAAACAGAGGCGTGTGGAGTAAGGAAATTTGCCTAATGTTTCACCGTACCCGTGGATCGAACCCAGCGCTTTTACATTTATAGGACTTACTATACACCCTTAGAAGTAGGCAAGCTGAGTAACTCCTTGTTGTTCTTATCTTAATAGACTTAAGATGCTGCATAATATTAATGTGCACATAGAAACAGGAAGGATGCCACCAGATAGTTCACGCCACTAGAAAGACTGATAGTGAACATCTTTGATCCTGAAGCTCTGATGGGATTCATTAAGGGCAACATTGGCATTCCCCTCTTCCATCTGTATAACGTTTCCTTTGGAAACTACTGTTTGCGACAGGAATGTTTCTGGTGCAAGCCATGTTTTGGCATAAGTAAACAGGCTTAAACAGGCTATAGAAACCCTTTACTCTCCATTTGATATCATAGCACGGGACTTGCTCTGCTTTCCAAAGTTTAGAATTGCCTTAAAACTCCATATTCCTGCATTCAAAAAAGGAATCTTAATTCTTGTTGACCTGTTCTCCCTGACTGCTGGTCATTTTAATTTATAGATGGGTTCTATGCCCTATTCTCATATTCTTCTAGAAGTCAGCTCAGTTCCTCATCAACTTACAGAGGTGTGGTATCTCTGAATACAAGCCAATATTATTTTGCTGCTTTTTTCTGGCATGAACTGCAAGTTACCATCCAAAACAATCACAACATGATACAAAAAACGATTTCCTGAAATAACCTGGTTGTCTAATTTCAGGACATACTTACAGAATATGTAGCGGAGTCACGAACTGGGCCAATAGAAGTGTGGTTGCAATTTTTCCACAGAATCCACTACAAACAATTTTGTCAGCTATAAACACTCCCTCCACTATAAATAATATCCTCCCCTACACCTGTAATAACACAGTGTGCTCGGCCCCGGGCCTTTGTGCGCTCCTGCCGGCTGTTCACTCGACATCGTTACTGTGGACGGAATGGCTCCAGACATGCATGCGTGGTGCAGTGCGAGCGGGAAATGGGCTGTAATCATCTCGAGGCTCCACTGGTGAAACTGTCTGTGCGTGTGTGTCCCTCTGTGTCTGTGAGTGTGTGTGTGAGTGGCTCTCTCTCTCTCCTGTGTCTGTGAATGTGTGTGTTTCCCTCTGTCTGTGAATGTGTGTCTCTTTGTCTATGAGTGTATGTGTGTGTCTCTGTGTCTGTGAGTGTGTCTGTGTGTGTATGTCTTTCTCTCTCTCTCTCACTCGCTCTGTGTCTGTGAATGTGTGTGTTTCTCTCTGTCTGTGAATGTGTGTCTCTTTGTCTATGAGTGTATGCGTGTGTCTCTGTGTTTGTGAGTGTGTCTGTGTGTGTATGTATGTATGTCTTTCTCTCTCTCTCACTCACTCTGTGTCTGTGAATGTGTGTGTTTCTCTCTGTCTGTGAATGTGTGTGTCTCTGTGTCTGTGAGGATGTGTGTGTTTCTGTGTACCTCTCTCTGTGTCTGTGGTTGTGTGTGTCTCTCTCCGTGTCTGTACGCGGTAGAGGGCACCAAGAGGCAAGAGGAAGTGGTGACCTCCTGGAGCCCACAGTGAGGATACTGGTGAGCTTGGCAAAAAATGCTGGTGTTTGGCAGATCGCCAGGCCTTCAAATATAGTGTGGGTGGAAACGGACCATTCAGCCCTTCGAGCCTGTGCTAGTGCCCCTCCGCCCCCCACCGGAGTGGGCTACCCACATTTTGCCAAAGAAAGCATTAATAATATTATTTTTGCAACAATCTAATGTGCGTTATTTCTTTGCGGTTAGTCTTTATCAATTAGGTGAAAAAATGTAGGTCGGCAGTAAAATATACCTCTCAAAAGCACCAATCATCTCCCTGCAATTTTCCACAAGATTTGGCAAATTTCTCCACATTTTTTGGCAAGTATTACTGCGATTTTCTATTGGCACTGGCCATGAGCCAAGAGGCCACTGAAGGCTACATTTCACTTGTTGGGAGAGGGAAAATTCGAATGCCCTTGTTAAAAACAAAACATAAGTGGAACTTTAATTTCTAGATCTCTGCAGGCTGGATTTTTCTGTTTTGGTTGCAAATTTGTAAATTGATAGCGTGATAGCCTTTAAAATTGTAAAATGGGGTATAAAGGGATACGGGTGGAGATTCTAATACAGCAGTAATATGCAGTCGGTTACACCCTCCATTTTTGAAAACCTGATTTTTGTGCAAAATGTTTCTGTCTGAGCAGCTCCTGCCTTACTGCCAGCGCCTTGGGACGTCCTCCCGACGTGAAAGGCGCTCTATAAATGTAATTTTGTTGTTGTTGTTGTGTTCCACAGTTGAGCAATGTATATAGTGATGCCTTATAAATGTGGGAGTCAGTCATTCTAGTTAATCAGTTTGACACAGAAACCTGGTACACACATGTATTCTTTCCTGTAGAAATAGAGAAGCTGCTGGGTGCCTAGAAATTGATAGATGTTGTGACTATCATAATCACAAGTAGACTGTTGAACTGTTGGAATGTGCAAGGAGGGCTTCCTGTAGAAAGTATCATAAAAAGTGGCACAGATCTGTCAATGCTTCTCTTAGAAGCCTCAATCTTCAGAGTCACTGCTCTCCTGACATGTCAAGGTACAAGTCTATATTATCGTACATCCCGTGAGCTGGCTACAGTCTCGTACTAGATCTTCTGAAAAAGCAGTATTCTCCCTGAAGTCTCTCCTCCTCAAACCTTCTGAAGTCACTCCTCCTCTTACATGGTTAGTTTAATTCCCATGATCAGGATAAGGCAAGCAGGATGATGACAATACAGGGGCATCAGATGAACAAGGATTTCACAGAGGCAAACTCCTATCGTCAAAGACAAATGTCAGCTACATATGAGGAACTGATGGTTATATTTTTCATGTTAAAATCTTTCTTCATACGTAATTGATGCCTGTACTGCAATACTAATAATTATTTTATAGTCTGTGCTACTAGCACTGTGCCAGCAGATGCCAATTGAAACAGGCTTGTAACTATAGGACAATACTGAGATTTGGGTAGCAAATACAAAAGTTGTATTTCAACATTGCTACCATTACCATCTCATAAGGCAATGCAAGACTAGATGTAGTTCATTTTAGTTAATAGTATAACTAAAATTTCCACAATTCAAAAATACAAATAGATATATTGCCAACAATATGTGCAAACAACTCAATGGGAAAGTATGCAATACAATGTATTTTACAATTTTACAATATAACTTTCTCTTCAACCGTGCCTTCACCTCCCCTCTCGACTCTCTACCCCCTCCTCGCTCCTTCCCTTCTCTCCCCTCACCCTGACTATTTCCCCCCTGCTCAGGTCCCAACCCAACTGTCCAGCGCCTTAGGACGTCCTCCCGACGTGAAAGGCGCTCTATAAATGCAATCTTGTTGTTGTAATGTAGTCATCAGGAAACACCACTTTCAAACTGTTTGTATGATGTATACAATTCTTATGAAACAAAAGTGCAGCTTCCAAACATTTGTCATTTATTACTCAACAATATTAATTTTATTTTTCAAATATAGTTTAAACTTTTTCTAACATTAACAACTTTATATTCTAAAGGTTATTTCTTAGGACACAAAGCATTAGAGCCCCTGGATTATTAAAGTAAACTTACCACCACCATGAATGTAAGAATCCTGGTGGTTCTCCTAATGTTATGTTTTTCTCCCATCGTATCTAAAAGATAAACAAAGGTTACAACATTTCATTATTTTGTGTATATAAGGTCTAATAAATTGAAGCCTTTTATATATCCAACCACCCAACTAAGCACTAATAATACTTGATGTACTGTAAAGTGGATTGACTGCATTTTGTGGGAGAAACACAGCAGCCAGTTTCGCACAGCAATTCCCCACAAACAGCCATGGAGTGAATGATTAATTTTATTTGGGGGATTTGTGGCCAAGATACCAGGAGAAACTCCCTCCTCTTTTCAAATAACGCCATCAGATATTTTGCATCCACCTGATCAGAGAGGTGGGATCTCAGTTTAATATCTAATCTAAAGGACAGCACCTCCGACAATGCAACATACCTTAGCACTGCATTGGAATGTCATCTTAGACTATGTGATTCCAAGTCCTGACATGGGGCTTGAACCCACAGCCTTCTGACTCAAGAGACGAGAATGCTACCACTGAGCCAGGCTGATACACTAAGCAATTAAAGAGCATGTGGCTTATACCACATTTACACAACAGATGTAAATCCAGATTGGTTGTGAATTTACAGCTGTCTCTATTAAAAATACCATATATTCAGTGCAGATTTGTTTACTTCAGCTTTACTTTGGAGCAAAATACACCCATTTCCTGATGGCAGTTTTAAATTGGCTTTGAGGTAAATGCATGCAAATTAGCTTCTATAAACAACCCAATTTCATGCAACCTCACTATACAACACAGTGCGCATAATAGAATATAGCCAGGCCTCTGTAATAACTCGGAGAGAATGTGTAATATAAACTTTGTTGCATCCCAATACCAAAACATTTGCATGTAATGTAGAACCTGAAAGTTCATAGCTCATATAACCAAAATTACACCAGAAAACCGCTCACCTCTGATAAAAATGTTTGTGCTGATTTCTGTGCTCCTACATGGAGTAGATATTCATATACATACAGTGCTAACCTGCAATATAAACACAAGAACATTTTTTTAAACATTGTTTTGTTAATTTAGGAAAATGGAATTCCAAAGTTATAAATGTACATACTACTATACTGCATTCTGTAAGTCGATACTTCAATCATATACTTCAAATTTAATCTTCCAGTGCAAAAATAATGCAGATAAGTATTAATTTATAACTCCAAGTTAAAATATGAATAATGGAATTGTGCTTTGTATTAAAAACACTTTTCTGTGAAGAAGACAGTTCCTAAGAATGTCACATTTATTCTAGGATTCACTGAACAATTGCATTCATGAAAGAACTTTACCATTTTCCTCAGAAATCTTCATTATAAAATTATACCACACAGTATATAGCTCCGATATTCAAAAGCAAAAGACAGAACAGAATGCTTTCACTGTAAGATTTAGAATTAAACCGAGACCAGACTGACAGAAGGGAAAATCCATTGTCTTACGTGAAAATTTGATACAACTTCAGCCCAGTTCTCAGTGGTCATAAAGTATAAATTGTTCTTAATTTGGCACTGAATGAATAATCTTATCCAGAGGTAAAGAAAAATCTGATGAAGTTGGGGATGCTCTTCTGAAATTGGGGTAAAATAAAGAAGTTTCAGTATTCATTTGCTGAGCTAAGCTGACATGAGTAGCCCATAATTGGGCATTTTTCCCAGCATTAACATTCACCATGCTGAGCATGTAATTCACATAATTTTCTTTACAGGGAGTCACCCAGCATACCCCAGCAGTTAGGTCTAAATCATTCTAATGCTTTGAAGAATGCTCTCTCTCACTGACTAATGAAGCATCTATTATTTTAAGAAACTTGTCAAAAATGTTGGACCAAAGATTAGGAAAACTATTGGGATACATATTTTCATTCATAAAAGATAACTGAGTACACACAAGCAAAGATAACTGTAAAGTTTTAAAAAATTAAAGTGTGCTCTCCCAGTTTGGGATGGATTGTACTGAACCACTGCAGTCAAAGGTCTGCAGAGAAACCATCAGTTCACAGTAACTCCCTATCAATTTCAAAGGTAAATTATCCACTGCATGAAATCAAGGTACATGTTAGCACAACTATATAATATATATATTATATATATTACATCTGAAGGAGACTTGTATGCCTGGAAGCAAATTTAGGGCTCGGGTGGAGTTCCATAGGATTGTTGAGAAATGCATTTGCTTCCAAATGGGTTAAATTTCAACCCTGATGTGATATATTTATATGTATATGTAACCCTATGGAACTCCACCTGAGCCCTAAATTTGCTTCCAGGCACAGAAGTCTCCTTCAAATGTAATCCAGCTTTACAGGATTCAAATCTGAGGTACGTATCTGAGCAGAGGCCTGGCCTGAGACATCTGCAAATTGGCAGGATTAGCTATTCACACATTTTTCTGTGAATCTTCCAAATTTCATCCTTGTCTTTACAACAGACTAGGGTAAACCATTAATACAGATTACATTGTGCGCTTGAACGGTACAGATTACCTGTAACATACATGAAAGCAAGCACATTAAGTAATCCTCTACGGAAATGTAGCGGCCAATTTGTGTACAACAATGTCCCACAAGCATCCATGAAGTGAATGAGAAATTTTATATGGGGGATTGTTGGCCAGGACACCAGGAGAAACTCCCTTCTCTTTTTAAATAATGCAAAGGGATCTTTAACCTCTACCTGAACAGGCAGATGGGACCTCAGTTTCATGGCTCATCTGAAGAATCGCATCTCCAACAATGCAGATGCACTGGCACTGCACTATTACAGGACCTACAATGAGATAATTCTATATCTATTTTTCTGATGTGGCCTAAAGAATCATTTGTAAGCCACTGTCATTGAACTTTGAGGTGGAGAACTCCACATGAATGGGAAAAAGCAAGCTCACATTGACTGAACTCAAATCCCAATTATCAATGATGCCTACTTTGGAAAATGCACACTTCCAATATTAATTTTATATTCAAGAAAGGTTTTGCATGGCAGTGTATTTCTAGAAATGTTCTGTAGTTGAGCCAACGTATCCTGTGAGATGTTTCATTACTTCAGACGTATTGGTTCCCGCAATACAAAGATTTGAAATAGTAAATCTGGTTTATATTTCCTGTTGCAAATTACTCTCACTGGGGGCTGAGTAGAGCCCAGCACATGGGCAAACAAGCATGTGGGCAGAGCTCCACTCATTTTTAATGTGTAAGTGCCAGTTATGTGACACATGTTTACTACAAAGGGACACAATGGTAATATATACAACAATTGTTCATTGTTCATCTGTGAGTCTTGACAATGAGAACTTATTTTTTAAAAAGTTGACAAGTTTCTTAACCATGAAGCATGACAGTTGACCCTTTTTCTGTCTTCACCCGACATCCACACTGAGCAGGAGTCGCTGGATAGTGAATTTTCTCTCCGTAACTCTGAACTAGTTCTAGTTGCTCTACTGGTATCTGGGCTGAGATGAGCACAGTGAAGTGATTGGCCCTGTGACCTTCCCTGGTCTATTTGTTTGGTTCCTCAGCCTTTCCCATCGTATTCCACTGTCTTGGTTTTGTGAGCATTATGGTTGAGACCTCCTATAGTGTCAACCACTGTGATGCAAAACTCATAGTGAGATACTGCAGTTCATGTGAATGGAGAACAAGTGTTGGGTACTTCTTCCTACAAATTTCCAGAATAGAAACAGAGGCAGCCAGTGTAATTGCACAATTCAGAATGACCCCCCCATTAATGATCAATCAAATTAATTGTATAGATTACCCGCAGTGAAATATAAAGCTGCACACATAAAATATCAGAATAGTTCCTGTGGAGGGGGGGACAGTAAACTTGAAATCTGAAGGTTCTTCTCAGCATTGCTCATACACGTTTTCTACTGGAACAACTGAGATATACAAAGGTTTTACCATTCCATTCTCTTTACAAAGCGGACAAACTGAATACAATATATAATTCACATACAATATATATTTCTAAGCAGATCAAGATTTGCGAACAATTAAATCATCTTTAGAATTTATCAAATCCTCTCACTGCATACATCTAAAATATCCTATTTTATCCAGCATCTAAGGAACAGTGTGGTATCCCAGCAATGACTAGGCTCATTCTGGAGAGAACATGAGGAAAACGATTTTTAAAAAAGTCAAAATTCTGACAACCCAAGAGAGCAGTTGTCTCATTTTGCATGCATCTCAGTAAAGATGCACACACACTATCACCTCCAAATCTATCTGAGAAATAGTAGTCCAAATGTGCCACTTTAAGAATCCTGTTCCAAACAAATACAGAGCACACAGCAGTATCCAATAGGCCTTTAGCAATGGTGAACACATCTGTAATGTGCACCACCTATACCATTCTAAATCCTTAAGCTGGTCTGCAAAATAATTGGGGGTCCTGAGTTTTTCTTATTATAAACATATGGCATTTAGACACAAAATACAGTAGAACCTTGTTATAAAGTGCTTCATTAGAACGTGCGTTGTCTTATTACATGATTGGGGTTTGAGCCCTGACATTAACTTACCCGAAATCTTCAAAATTTGTGGGCCTGCTGCATTGTGGTTCTAATCCATGGACACAGCAGGACGAGACACAGCCAGTGCTGGGAAAATTAAAATGACTGACTTTGGGTCATCATTTCATCACTGATGTGAGATAATAATAATAATCCTTGCATTTGATATAGCGCTTTTCACGTCTTCTCGACGTCTCAAAGCGCTTCACAGAATAGACTGTAAAATGAATTGACTGTATATTTGTGGGCGAAATACAGCAGCCAATTGCGCATAGCAGCGTCCCACAAACAGTCATGGATTGAAAATGACCAATTTATTATTGTTTGGTTTTGTAGGGATTATTATTAGGCGTGTGGAGTAAGGAAACTTGCCCAAGGTTTCACCCTGACCTGCCTGGAATTGAACCCAGGTGTCTCGCTTGCAAGGCAAGTGCTCTAACCAGTGAGCTACGGGACTCCACATCAGTTGATAATCTGGATGTCGGCAATTTGGCTTCCCCACACCGCCATCATTTTGTCCTTCTACATTTTCACGTGCAGTGAATGCAGAAACATTGTCTGTGAGGATGTCTGTGTGTTTCTGTGTACCTCTCTCTGCAATCATGCACAGTTGTAGCACTGGTTGGGTTTTATCAACCGCCAATGGAGCTCTACTGAACTGCTAAATAGTACTTCTGGCAGTTATGATAAAAATGCTTTTTATACTTTAAGTTTGCCGAGCAGTAAGTGGGAATCTACTTGTTGGTCGATTGGCAGATCGCATTCCGGGGGTAATAATCCCTTAAAAAAATGATTTTGTCACTGAATCCACAGCTGTTTGTGGGACACTGCTGTACGCAATTGGCTGCCTGGTTTCGCCCACAAAGTATACAGTCAATTCACTTTACAGTATATTCTGTGAAGCTCTTTGAGAAGTCTCAATGACGTGATAATAAAAATCCTTGCATTTGATATAGCATTTTTCACGTCTTCTAGTGATAGGCGCTGTATCAAATGCAAGGATTATTATTATATTATTATATTATTAAATTCTGATCTTAAAAAAAATTAAATAAATACAGAGTGATTGCATTAAGTAATATTTTCTTTGAGCAATACAGAGTATTAAAAAAATGAACGTTTTTTTCTATCTGAACAGGTTATTGTGGCAGATGTCCTCGGAAAACAGATGGGATTCTCCTGCAGACAACAAACCAGGAGTAGCAGCAAGAAACTATGAGAAAAAGTTGGAAGCAAATAACACATGAATTGAAAAAGCAAAACACTAAGATAGCAATGACAATGTAATCTAATTATACTAATACGTCAATTTCATCTCAAGGTAAAAAACATAATTCTAGAAATGTTGATTTTCTTCTTTATTATCAGTTGCAGGCAAGAATTTTTTTTAAATGTTGTACTTATGTACAGAGCCAAATTCTCTACTTGAATTCTGCCCAAATCCAGTCCTCAATACGAACTGTAAC